GACTCCGGGGCTCCCCGCCCGCCACGGAGCCCAACAAGGGGACACATAGCTCGGATATCCAGAGCTGTGCCAGGGCTACCCCGGAGCTATACTCTCAACGAGAAAGTACAAGACCCTCCCGTCAAGATTGACCCAGGGCTTGATGGGGTTTCAGCTCTCAACCGGTTGAGTGGCATGGGCCGTGCCACCCTCCCGTCTAAGAGGAAAACCTGGGCCAAAGAGGTGTGTTGGTGAGGGACAGTCCGTGGACTGATCTCACCTCAACCGCCAGGTACCCGGTTTCCCTCCGCACGGGTCGCACCTCACGGTCAACAAGGCGCCCACTCTGTGGGATGGGTGACCTCTCTTTTTTCTGCACATGAGGTCAGCGGTGGCAGGAAAGACAGAAGAAGAAAGAAAGAAGGAAGGAGAAGAGGAAGATACACCAAAGTAGGTGTCGCATCCGGATCTCAGAGGATTGGGGTCCGAGTGCGACACCTCGCCTTTGAAGGGGTTGCACCTTCTGCAGACGAAGCAGTGGGTCTATTTATATCCCCCCGACCCACTGGGGGTAGAGGGGGCTGGGAAGGGGGGGGGAGGGGAGAAGGCCCACCTCACACTCCATCAGAGGGATGGGCTGTGAGGTGGAAGAAGCAGAAGGAGAAGAAGAAAAAGGGATAGAAGAGGGGTGAGGGGGAGAAGTGGGGGCGGAGGAAGAGTCCTCCCCGTCCTCCCCTAGAACCCCATGGCTGTTAGAGAGTGGCACCTCAAAGGGGGTTGGCACAGGGATAGTAGCGGGCTTTTTGTTCTTAGGCACAGAGACTTGCCTGTTGACCGCGGGCTTTAGGAGGTCGGCAGTAGAAATTAGAATTACTTGTCGACCTCATGACCACCTGGGCTGCCTTTGAATATGACCGGCCAATGACTGGGGTTATGATTGGCGGGCAGACAACCTTACGGGTATTCTTGGAGGGCGACACGATTCGAATTTCAGGACAATCGTGTTCATCTCAATAGTAGTCTCCCCCCGCCGAAGAGTAATCCGGCGGGCTTCGACCACTCCCTCACAGTGCTCCACAATCTCTTCCATGGAACAGCCTTTCAGCTCATGGCTGCGGACCACGCCCTTCGAGCCGTTAAATTTCTGGTAGTGCTCGGACTTACATGGAATACCGCCGAAGTATCCAGGAGTTTGGTCACTTCGTTCTCGGTTGTGCACTTGACAAGGAGTGCACCATAGGAAAGTTTCTGTACACATGTGGGAATGTATCCCAGAACTTTCCTTAGTGCATTTCTTGTCTTAAAGAGGTTGAGATTGGTAATTCTTCTCTGTGCGTCTTTTGTACTTTAGATGGCCACGTATGGTTGCCTCAGAAGCTCCTTGGGAAGGGGGAGGAAGGAGGCATCAGTAAAGGTCCTTTTACCATTTTTTAAACTTTTGCTCGGCTCGGCGGCCGCACCCGCTTCCGCGAGCCGAGACTTCTTCGCGTTGGGAGCTGGGGAAGGGTCTTTCGGGTTTTTAGAATCCATGAGAGTTTTCTATTTGATTCGACTCCGGGGCTCCCCGCCCGCCACGGAGCCCAACAAGGGGACACATTGCTCGGATGACCAGAGCTGTGCCAGGGCTACCCTGCAGCTATACTCTCAACGAGAAAGTACAAGACCCTCCCGTCAAGATTGACCCAGGGCTTGATGGGGTTTCAGCTCTCAACTGATTGAGTGGCATGGGCTGGGCCACCCTCCCGTCTAAGAGGAAAACCTGGGCCAAAGAGGTGTGTTGGCGAAGGACAGTCCATGGACTGATCTCACCTCAACCGCCAGGTACCCGGTTTCCCTCCGCACGGGTCGCACCTCACGGTCAACGAAGCGCCCACTCTGTGGGATGAGTGACCTCTCTTTTTGCTGCACATGAGGTCAGCAGTTGGAGAAAAGATAGAAGAAGAAAGAAAGAAGGAAGGAGAAGAGGAAGATACACCAAAGTGAGTGTCGCACACGGATCCCAGAGGGTTGGGGTCCGTGAGTGACACTCCGCCTTTGAGGGGGTTGCACCTTCTGCAGACGAAGCAGTGGGTCTATTTATATCCTCCCGACCCACTGGGGGGTAATATATAAACTAATTGAATGGTACTTCTTTTAAACTTTTAATTTTAACTGATCTTGTTCCGGGTGAGAAGTCATGAAGTAAAGTGTCAATGATTAAAAATCAATCAATTCAAATAACCAAGGCTTCTATATTTTAGTATTAGGTTCAATGATGAGGTTAACCTAGGGTTCACAAACTGCAGTTAGACGGTGAAAAGATGGTTAACCTTCCCCAAAACAAATGTAGGCTGACATTTTTTTTCTCTGCAACTTAGACTCAATTTTGCTCAAATACCATCTTTTGGACCACAGACGAGAATACTTGTGTAACCCAACTGCTTGCCCGGGCCCATAGACTAGAGCTGTACCCCGGTAGCAAACCCACTAATGCTCGCAAGCCCTAGTTTAAGTCACAAGCCTCAAATCACTCGGTCAAATCATCAAATCAAATCACCAGCATGATAAGTTGAGTCTAGCCTAAGCTTCAAGGCCACACCATCTAGCAATCCACGAAGCCACTCGTGTTATACCCCCTCATCCTTCCCACCCTGCTTGCAATTCACGAAGCCACTTACGTCAGAAAAAAAGAGAGGGGGAGAGAGACCCCGCTCACAGTCTCACTGCGCAGTATAGAGCTGGAGTCTGCTCGATTAATCGAAGGCTTGCAAGCAGCGGACAGCCGTCAAGTCTCAAATCTCGCTCGCAGCACAGCAAGTCCCATGACTTGCTTTGTGAACCATGTCTTGCTTCGTGCTCTATGACTTGCTCGCAGCCCGGCAAGTCTCTTGGCTCCCATGATTTGCTTTGGCTCCCATGACCGCAGTGTGAACTCTGAACCGTGGAGGAATGGAGAGACTGTGCTTGTTTTGGAGCAAGATGTAGAGAGCCGAAGCTATTTTTAACTTCCCGCAGCTGATCAGCTGAGCGAGTGGATGAAGTGAGAGGAAGCGTGGTATTGTAGTAACAGAGACCTAGGTTTCTGGTAGTAATAAGAATAAGTAGACTTAGATTACCCTAGGATGGAAAATTCCAGGGGTCGTTGTGATTGGCTTTTGTATCGTATGTATGTAACCTATTTTGTAGATGGGTTACACTCACAATGATATAATACAGAACATTTAGAAGACAGGCTAGGCCTACTTCAACTCAATGTCAGGGCCAACCTGGGCTGACAGGGAACAACGCCCCAGCAGAAAGACGGAGGTTCTCAGTAAAAATTTCTCCTCATACGGGAATCGAAGTGAGGTCTTTTGAGTGTGACGACGAAGCGCTTGGCCTATGCACTTTTTTTTTAAAAAACGGCTTTTGCATCGTGAGAATAGCTGATCCATTATTAATTTTTTAAGAGCATAGAATAAAGCCTTTTCTTTTTTACGAACCGACTATAGAATAAAAAACAATCTTGCACTTTTGGTGCAAGCCTCTCAACGCAAATAACCAGAATCTTCTGTAATATGTACTGAGCACACAGCCACGAGAGTTCGCGACGTCACGACACAGTACAGCAAGACTCTCCGGGAGTCACAACTCACCGGACGTTACCCCGGGTAGTGAGCGGGAGGCAAAGCAAAACACAAGCCTGCTCACAAGCCTCTGGCGCAAGCCGTATACTAGTCGCAAGCCTTCAATTAATCCAGCAGACTCCAGCTTTAACAAAGACACATAATAATATTGTACTCGTGAGCGAAATGACCTAGACCTTAACAAAGGTCAATTGAAGTTTCTCCAAATATATTATCTGCTATGCTTTCTTTAATCCATTGACTAGTTTCATTAAGATGTTTTGTTTCCGATTTCAGGCATCTAAATGTGGAAAGCAATAAAATGAGTTTAAAAAAGTATTTCAGCGAACTTGAGGTGCAACGAAATTTGTACGGAGAATAGATGACTAGGACTTTAACCATGATAATTGAGACAAAGTGTTCCGATCAAGAACAAAGAGATATATATATATATATATATATATATAGAATAGATCTGGAACCAGTTATCGCTGATTGGGACGTAATTTACTCTGGAGGTAGATCCAGATCTAAACTTTTATCTTTGTTAAGATCAGAGTCTGAACAAAAGCTTACTATTGCATAACTGATTACACCTAAATGACTAAAAACAAAATATTTTTTTCAATGAAAACATGACATGGCATTTGGGAAACATACTTTTTAAACAATTTGGTGAAGTATCATGTCTATAACTTTACTAAGGGCCGAATTATTCATTCATATAATTATAATATACTAGCTGGGCCCCCTTTCGATGAAAGGAATGATTGGTGCTTTGACATCAACTAAAAGTCATTGGCCTACTATGCACTCTACTGGAATGGGGCAATAAAGCTTGAGAGATGCAAAAAATTAGAAGGTCTAGATCTATACTCTCAAAATAAAATGCGCCTCCCGAAATATCACTTCCGGATGTTCTAAAATTACAGAGACAGAAGCGTCGGCCTACAAAAGCGATCGGCGAAATACAGAAGTTTAGCTTTTTGTAGCAAAACTGTCTCAAAACTGAAAAAACCAAAGGCATTATGATCTGGGGAATATTTTAAAGAATCTTTTGGCGAAACCCGCATGTCGATCGATGCAGCCATTAAAAAGCTTTTTGAATAGCAAAATTCGGCCACCACAAATAGATAATAGATGAGAGTAATATATTACATCTCATATAGTCAGAAAGTGGGCAAAAGCTCTAGTCTTTGGGAACTGAAAGTTGAATGTGAGGCTGGTCCAACAGGTGTTAATACATAGTATGGCATACTCTCTATAATGACATAAAAGCGCACAACGTATACAGAATTTAATTAATAGCACTGGACTAAAATATAATCTAATTGATTTATCTTGGTTTGAGGTCAGGGTTGATTAAGCTTTTTAAAAGTATAAAAAGAAATTATGTCCAGCTTTAACTTTTCAAACATCATTACTACATAGGCCTACCATTCAGGGCTGCCAGTGTAGGCAATGGATAAAATAAAATTCTCCTTAAACAAGACATAAAGGTGTGGAAGAATTGGGCTAGGACAGCTTCTGATTGTTGAGACATCCAGTCGAGGTCAAGACCATTCCCATAAAATTTTCCAGTGCCGGTGGTTATAAGGCCCTTACAGGTCTCATTTCTGAAAAAAAAAGTAAAATTTATTAAAGCATGAAATAACACTAGATTTTTTAAAATAGACAACCATTGTTTACTCCAGTCTTCAAAACCACAGATCAGAACCCGCAAATTTGATGTCAGACAAACAGTTTCTAACCTTTATACAACATGTACTAAAGCAACTCCAAAACCCATAAAAATAAAAGATATAAAGGCTATTTAATTATAGTTGTTTTAGCAGTACAAGTTTTACAGCACTTGCAACACAATTTATAGTACGGGCCGAAGATTAGAAGTGTTTCTAAAGAATACATCACAAAGAAAAGAAGGGGGAGAGATACGGACAATAGAAGGAGAAAACTACACCTAAGCACCCGCCAACTACCATTTTACTATAGGCAATGTAAGTAGGCCTACATTATTATTTTTACACATATGTAGCCTACATGCAGTTCAACCTGCTCTAACCACCACCTGTTCAAGAAAATAAACAAACGACCATAACCCACTTCCCCCCTTGTATTTTTCTCAACATAATATAATGACACTGTCTAAGAGGACCCCTTTTCACTCGACTATGAGTGGTCATCCTGAGTGGTGTCCACTGTAAACATTGGGTACACAAATACATTACAAACACATACACACATCTCTATATATTACGTGTGAAAGTTCGTCACTTTGGCCGCCTTAAACTTCAGAACCACTTAACTTTCGAATTCCACAAAAGTACTGGAGGTTCAGAATAATTTAAAGGGTGCATAGTTCTATTGAGGAGCCTGAAGTCATTGTAGTTTAATTTTCAGTTTTTCATTAGTTTCGTTTAGATCTAATTTTGGGAAAGTCCTACGCCATTGTAAACAAAAGAAGTTTCCGTTCACTAGCTGTGCTCACTGATTCCACACCTTTTAAATTCTGGAGTGTACAACCATGAAAGCGGAATAGAGAAAATCAATCTATACATCTATTTTATATTTGGCAACTTGGAAACACAGGTGTCAAGATTTATTGCTCTATTCCAGTAGAGAGTAAAATATAGTAGGCCAATGAGTTTCAGTTGATGTTAATGCACGGATCATTTCTTTCATGGAAAGGGGGCCCAGCTAGTAATATAATATAATATACAGCCAAACCTGCCCAAGATGACCACCCTTGAGAAAAGTAGTTCTATCTCAGACAGGTGGTCCTCTTGGACAATCTCATATTGTAGGAAAAATGCAAGGGGTGAAGTGAGGAGTAGTCGTTTGTACATGTGGTTGTCTAGGACAGGTGATCATTAGAGCAGGTTGACTGCACATGTATACAATACATGATACAGTTGAACCTGTAAACAGGAAACTAACAAAGCAAAGTATGGATAGTAAATAAACTAGTCCTTCATCAATAGTTGCCTGAGGAAGATCATGAAAATCCACTGGCCAGACACCATCAGAAAAAATTTAGTTAGACCTAATGTTATTTAATATTATGGAGGAGTACCAAACAGCAACCAAACGACCATTAGATCAAGAAAAGCAGTTGACAGTGGATAGGGTATACTTTTATATTCAGTGCACACTGCCAATTTTATTCACTTGATTCAGTCAGTGCCAACAGGATTTTTCCCTAATTGAGAGGCAAAAGCTACCACTTTGGCTCAATATAATATATACGAGGCGGGGAGGGGGG